TGTATTGTGACTCCAGATCAGCGAGTCCTGGGCCGCGTTGTCTCTCTGTCTGAGTTCAAACACTGAAGAATGAGTCTTGAAATCAGTGAGATTAAGCACATCGTCTATTGATTGGCTGTGCGATACAAGGCAAATAATCCTATTTCAAGTTGCACCACTCGATTCTAATGGTTTCCGAACCGTCTCAGGCAGGGACGGATCACAATTAGTTTAGCATTCAGCAGACAAGAGTGGCCCTGCATGCGTGAGCGTGATTCTGGGCTTAACCGCGGCTGCATTTGACATTTCCATTCTCCGGACACCTTCCTCTGTGCTGTCTGCACAGTCACCTGCAGAAGGAGGCATTCAGACACTGTGAGTGCACATTAGGCCAGCTGCAAGTGTAGAATTCAATTTGAATGAAAAGCGTAGGACATTTCTTTTATTTTGTCTCTCCGACACAAAAGTGCTTCTTGGGCAACAAAGAGACTACCTCCTACTGCAGAGCCCTTTCACAACAGAGCAACAAAAAAAATCTGTTTGACATTTCACAACAAAAAAGCTGACCTTGTTCAGACGTGGTCACATCCGAGTCGCTCTCACTGCTCGACTCTTTGACAGAAAAAGAGTCGGTGCACATGTGTTACATATACAGAAACAGCTGCATCGTCTCTCAGTCGTAAAAAATGTGAAGCTCCACGTTTTAAACGATTTTAAAACATTGTGTTTCATTAAAGCGTCCCTAAAAACTGGTCTGGTAGAAGTGGCAAAACAAGTGGGTTATTCCCACATCTTCTTCCCTTTCCAACGTTTTCTCTGAAGATCTATGGATCTCAAACACTGTTCATCTTACAGATTTGAACTCCCACAGACGTCTTATCACTCAGTTCTCAATATGTGCTTTTATCGACCATCAAAAGCACTTGTTAGTTTAGGCACAACGTGATGACTGTTAGTTACACGAGGAGCAATATGCAACTAGATACAAGTCCAGTGTGCTGTGAACAGAGGGAGCTATTGACAGGCTTCTGCTTTGTGTGATCTGACTGTCATCACATCACGAGTCTGATCACTGCACCGTCTTCCGTTCGCAGCTGCTGTCACGTTACACTCAGCGTAACTGAGGATCTCCTGTCTGAAGGTGTTTGTTTTCCCAATCAGTCATCAGTGTTGAGGTGGTCATGATTGATTTCCCCATTAAGCTTCTTTTTTTTTTAAGTACGTTCTCTACGTTTTAATGTCAAGTCGTTCCTTTTGCTTTTTTAATGAGGAACTAATGTCTCCGGCACTTTGACTCTAATGGAGTTAAAGTGGCAGATCTTCCACGTTAAGGAAAAAAAAAAAGGAGGGTCAAAGAAACCATGAAAAGACAGTTTGAGTGCAGATTTACACTTTAGATTGAGGCTTTGATTTGGGCTTGGATAAACTTTTCCCTATTCATTATGACCATCACTAATAGTTCATCAGCTTGTTTTACGGCAGCGAGCAGTGTGTGTATTATATCAGCTTTCTCCTCATTCACACAGTCACTTTTTTCTTTTTTTAATCTTCTTCATAGACTCTGAATTTTGCAATACAGTTCATCCAAAGAGGAAACCAGAGGCGAGACAGTTTGCAGCTGAAAATGGGACTCAGCCAGACAATGCCTTTGATTTGTAGAGACTATACTGCAGTGTGGCTTCCTGTTCATTTCCAATGTGTTCATTACAGAGCGGGCGCACAAGTACCGGTGACACTGAAACCAATGAACACCATATTTCAAATGATGACGGGGTGTGAAAGATAGATGATCATGGAGCATTCTCTGGAATGTGTGTGTGTTTATTATCTGCTGTGTAATTAGAATGCAGAGAAGACTCATTCTCATGTTATGACTTGAATTCAATGCGCACTGAGAAAGACTTCATCAGTCCACAGTATCTACTTTATACACACAAAGACTTCATCAACACATTGGCTTTGGTTTGACGTGGGAGTAACACAGGATTCCACAAAATACTATAACAATGCATCTACAGAAATAGTGATTGTTGGAAAAAAAACTGTGTAAAATGATCATTTAGGATTCATTGTTGGATTTAAAGGAGCAGTACAGTAGTTTAGCAGGTCAATGCACATACTGACATGCTCATTGTATTAACAAATTATATCAGTTTTGATATAATTAGTATATTTTTTCAACTTAATGTCAGTTTTTTTTGCATACGTTTTTCTAACATCACAGTTGATTTATGCAATCATAAGTTTATAAAAAATAAAAATGAACATATTTAAAAATAATATTTTCTTAGCATTTTGTTTAAATGTATTTGTATCCATTCAGCAAGGAACGATATAGTTATGGAGGCCCCTCTCATGTCAATGAAACCCAGCATCAACATGTTTATGATCACTATCAGTATTTTTAATGACCTCACATAAAAACATGTGTAGTGTTATCTTGTTCATGACCTATCTCATAGATATAGATGCTAAAAGCTCAGTCATAATTAACCCAAAGAAAGGTGTTGCAGCTCTCCTGAATGAGGACAGTCCACTCTCAGTACAGGTTTAATATGAGTGTTTAAACGTGCAGGTGGAAAGTTAGAGATGAAAGAGCTGTACAAAAATAACGATCGTAACGTTATTAGATACTATGCATTCAGTCAGGACTCGTGACACATGAAACACTTCATTAGAGTCTGGTTCCCATTTGTTTAATGATGAACATAGCTAGTAAACAACTGTCTTTCAAACACATCGGCTCACCAAACTCTGCAATAGAATCCTCCAAAACCCAACCCCACTGACTGTACAGTAACTCTAGAATAATATAGAAAGTCAATCAATGATCGGTCCCCAGACAAGATGTTTGTGTTCAACAGTGGCGGGCCGTCAGGGTCTGCAAGGCCTTCTCTGCTGGCCTAGACAGAATCACAAAGTTATAGCTATTTTATAATTTAATAATTTTTCTTCAATACACTACATGTATTATAATTTATAAAAATATTTTTCCCATTATCTTATTTTCTCATTGCACAGCTACTGTCTTCCTCAGTTGCTTTGCTTCCAGCACAGCTTGTTTTAAGTAGAGCTTTTATCCAATCAGATTTCACCTCTGTGTCTCTAGGTAACAACAGAGGCCCGAGGCCTTCAGACTCACAAGTGCATCCCTGTACAGTTTAAGTGAATGGGGACGATATTGTTGATTGTCATAGTGTTCAACCAATCAGATCTTTAGTTTGACATGTTGGGCGTATTCTTTGACGTGCCAGAGCCTGCTAGCTGGCCTACAACTACGTTAGCATTACGTGCAGCTCTGCAGTGAGGTGCAGCGTGTGCTGTGATTGGTCAGTGGGCGAGCACGTGACTATTGGAAAACGAAACCTAAGCAGAGGCTTAGACGGAGTAGTAAGAGTTCAAATTGAAAGATATGGAAGCAATTATGAAATTTTTTGCATTTTGCTTGGTTTACATTTTTTATTTTTTTTACCTAGCTTTGTTTTTTTAACACTCAATGGCTGAAGGAGGAGAAACGGATTTGTGAGCTGGGATTTAACCGTGTGATTAAACTCTTTGTCAACAAAGAAAGGAGGATGGAGTTTGTCTTTAAGTGAACAGCATTTGGTAAGTCAACTGCGTTTGTTTTTACATCTGCAGTAGCTTTAATATGCTTGTTTATATATTATCATTTGTACAACTTGTTTTATGAAGATGGATTTTTGTTTGGTTTTATATGTGATAGGAACTATTGTTACGTCCAATTTTGCACTGGGCACTAGGGTTGTCACGATACCAAAATTATGACTTCGATACGATACCTGCCATAAGTATCACGATACCCGATACTTACGATACGATACCAGAATTCGATACAATACCACAAATACGATACGATACTGGTATATTTATCTATAATAGTAATAAATAAAACATCTGTACGGTTCCCTTTTTTACCAGCTTGTTCCTGCCCAGCTTTTTGAACACTTAACAAATGGCATTAATATTAATGTTTAACCTCTTCGCATCTTTTGAGCCTCTCATATTTCCGCTGGCTTTCAAACACAGCTGGAAGGGAACTCTGTGTTTGTGTTGTTGCTGACTCTGCTGGCATCTGTTTGACTGTCTGTGGGAGTGGGTGGATAAACAATGCTTAATTTACTTGCATAGTGAGTTTGATATTTTCACTTCATATCTTATCTTAATTCATGGAATAATTATTTTTCCTTAACTAAAAATAAAAAGAATTGGCTCAAGATCCACCCTCAGGCTCCACCAGCATGTAGCCATTTTGCATCAATTGTGTTTCATTTAGTACACTTTTGTGTGCAGTGTGACCTCATGATCATATAGGCTTGTCCTCAAACTAGGCTAAGGCTACTCGTGTTAGGCTGTATATGGGTGAGCTTGAGGGTGTTCATGTTTATAATCACATTTGCTTACCTCTCGTTCTTTGAACTCTTTGAAAAGTTCGGGGTGTCTGTCTGAAAGGTGCTTTGCCATGTTAGACGTGTTGCCTCCCTTGGTCTGTGTGGCTTTGAAACACGTTTTGTAGACGGGTCTCTGTATGTCAGTGGGGACCGTACACGGACCACCATTTCCGTTTTTGGTTTGAAACGAAAAACGAGAATATCATGGTATTTCCGTATTGTCGTTTTTTCGACTGAACGGTAAAACAGACTATCAAAACGTACACGGACCTTGATGCATGTCTCCCCTGCTATCACTTGCTGTGAGTGAGCGCTGCCTGTTGCTGTGTGAGCGCTGGGCAGCCCCGCCCCCTTGCAGTCAATGCGTGCAGGCAGCATGACAGGGAGCGGAACAGTGAGTGCGCTCTGATCGCGCCTATTTTAAAGTAACGATACTAAAATATGCAAAATCGTATCGTTTTAACGTACGGGTACCGCGGTACCTTTTTAGTATCGATACACCGTGCAACATTACTGGGGACATATTTAGCCGGTGTCAGTGTTGCCAACTTTGTCAAAAGCTACTAGTGACAAATCTAGCGACTTTTTCTGGTGTTGTTGGAGACTTTTCTGGTGTTTTGACTCTGACATGAAAGCACATATTGTTCAGGACAGCAGTGAAGGCCCAGGTATAAAATGCACGACCCGCCACTGGTGTTCAATGAATGATGAGCGACAAATCTGTAAAATAGGCCATCAAACTATTATCTTTTATTAAAATATGAAAGTTTTTAACATCAGCAACAATCAAGGGTAAATGATTGTAGCTGATATTAAAAACTTTTATATTTTCACAACTCAGTCCGTTGGAGACAGCAAGAGATGCTCAGGAAGGAAATACTTTGTATATTATAGTCTTTGCTATTTAGCAGAATGCTGCATCACAATTACAACTTTGGATAAAGTCAGTTGTTTCTGGCAATCGGTGAGTGTGTGTCCTAACCAGAAATAATGAGCCAATTTAGTTCTGTTATGAAAAAGTGAAAACCAGCCAATGTAAAAACACCTCCTGCCTGACTGCAGCCAGTCCAAGTCAATATATCGCTCTGATCCTCATTTGAATGCAACATTTACATCAGATTCCGCACAATATGCATGATTAAATGGATTAGAATATCAGACATCTGCAGCATGGCATTGAATTTATTCAACAACTTGTAAAACCTCAGATGAAACCTGCCTGCACTCGGCTTTACACAGCAGCAAACACACACACCTAAAACTGTTCATTAGTCCGGAGGAGACTTTATGCCTATTGTGATGGCCAAATATTGTTTCAAATGCTCTCTCAAATGATTTATTATGTAAAAACAAGCATAAACCTTCACAAGCGTGTGTATGCAGAGGTGTCAGCTGAGGGCCCTTCATGCATTTGGCCGAATGAGACCTCATAGATGTTTAGGTCAGAACAGTCATCGCTCTGCTCCCTCCAAACCACAGTGAGCATCTCTGTGACGGATAATGAGACAAGGCCTTTGAGTGTGCTGCCTGGTGATTACACTCTGACACTGCATGTTGATGCCACACTAGGACTGGGCTTCACTGCTCCAGTCGGGGATGGAAAAGGTCTTGGACTGTCTTTTGTGCTCTCCTATCGTGTAGTCCACGTGGATGCATATGTGTCGGGCGCTTTCCTCCGAGGGGAACATGCTGATCTCTCCGGTGACCACCGTGTCCTGCACCACGTCCACCGGAGCGTCGAGGTACAGCACCGCCTGCTTCCAGTGAGTCTCCGGCTTGAACGGCGACGTGGAGAGCACGAGCGGCTGCGGCTTGTCCGGGCATGGGAAAGTCACCGTGAAGTAGACGCAGAACGCGTTCACCGCCGCCGAGCCGAACGACTCGCACCGGAATTCGCCCTTCACCGACCGCAGCTGCTCCGTGGTGACCGAGTGCAGGTCAAGCTCCGCGAAGCGGGCCGGGTGGGAGAGCACGTCCTCGACGGTCACCGAGTTCACGGTGATGTCGGAGTTCATGATGCACCGGCCGGCAAATTCGGACATGCAGGACATGTCCACGCCGTACTGGTCTTTGACGGTGTACCAGAAGTGTAAGCGGTCCTCCACCACCGGGTCGCTGATGGGCGCAATGTAGAGCTCGGCTTTGCTGGGCAGGATGACGCCGCCCGGCTTCAGCCACTTGTCGCGCGCGTAGAGGACCGAGTTGAGCATGGACTCGTGCAGAAGGGCATAGCCCATCCACTCGCTCACTATCACCTCCACCATCTCCGGTAGGTCCACCGTCTCCACCGTGCCTCGTATGACTTCAATTCTGTCCTCCATATTGTTCTGCTTCACTATTTTCACCGCTTGCTCGGCGATAGAACACGCTTCTACGGCGTAGACTTTCTTAGCACCGGCTTGGACACAGAAAATGCTCAACACGCCGGTTCCTGCGCCGACGTCCAGAACCACTTTTCCTCGTATGGACTCACTGTTCCTCAGTATGGCCATCCGGTACGTGTTGGTCCGCACGTGGTCCGCTATCATTTCCTCATGGATGGTCACATCGGTATAGCTGTCAAAGTACAGTCTCTCCTGCCGGGTTTTGTCCAATTTTCTTTTCTTAACGACATGAGACATCTTCTCGAGTCTGGGGGCTGCAAATGCATAGTGTTTTGTTGCTTCACTTCCGCGTTGTTAAATCTGGAACTTGTAGTTCCCCGCTGCGCACAATACGAGAGACACATATTCAAATAGACTACAATTCCCTCGACCAAGGGTCAGTGACGCAGCGGTGCTGCATTCACTGACAGGGGAGAAATGGTACATAGACTTTCTCTCTGGGTTTGGTGGCGAGTAATGACAGAAACGGCGCTTCTCCCTTCTTTTTCTAGTTTGCCAACTCAGTTTAAGATGTGGAACTTGCTTAATTATGCTTTTCTGGGGACGAATAAAGCCACCTGTAATAAAATCCTCACAAATACCACCGGAAGTGTTGCCTTCTCTTTGAGAAAAATAGGCCTACCTTGAAATTCCGTAACACAAATTATTTGACATTGAGAAACTCCCATTATTAATATTTCGTTATTATATGCCTTTATCTATTAATCTACTGTATATTACACTATTGTCCCTCTGTGTTTATTTTCATGAGGCTACAGTTAATTATTGGAGAAAATATTCCAAACTATTTGCACTCAGCTGTGGTTGAAGAAGATGTAAGGAATGGCTAGAATAACCATAACTACATGACGTTTTTTTAGACTTTATATTTAGTGTAAATAATACATATTGAAATTATAATTATTTTCCAGGCAAGACTTTGCACTGTGGGCCACGCAATGCTCAGCGCTTTATCTGATTCTTGATACAGTGTATTTTTGTCATATTGCCTTTGCAAGGTTTTACATTTCAGAGTAGGGAACCATATTTTCTCTGATGAAGGTCCTTTAGACCGAAAGCTAAAAAACTAAGTGTTCTCTGCATAGATTTAAGTGTGCGGAGATCTATTCTACCGCATGTCAGAGTAAGGAAATCAACAGAGGCCATACATTATCTTCAGCAATTCACTCTCTATAATTAACATCCAACCATCTACAGTACACCTACTGAACAGTTTGTTGCACAACACAGCATGGCCATTACCAGTTCTGAGCTCTCCCCATAGTTATGGCAGGCAGCACACAGCTGCCTGTGTCTCAGCTCTCCTCTCCTCTCGGCAGTCCTGTGGGACCCTTTTGAACTTTGTTTCAGAGATCTTTGGCAAAAGATACCGGACAAACGAGCAGGAGCTGTATCCCATTTCATAAAGATGAGGGAAAAGAGAGATGGAAGCAGAGAGTTTGAGATGAGAAGTACAGCAAGATGCTGTGTTTAGTTGTTTTCAAGACACGCTTTTAAAGCAAGAAGACAGCACAGGGAAATGCAGGAAATGTGAAATAATAGCATTGCGAAATAAGAAGAAAATATTGCTGGCAAATATGTGTGTGTGTGTGTGTTTGTTGCTGGTTAGGTGGGTGTATGTGTGTGCGCATTCACAATTACATGCTTTTTCTAAATTTGGATCCAATGCTGCCTTTAAAGCACAAGCACCTCCTGGGAAAATGTGTGCATTTAATAATTCAGTCTTTTCAAAATGATATAGAGAATAAAAGCAGGGAAATAATTCTGCATGAACTGATATGTTTTCAGCTTGAGTAATGGAAACAGCAACCATCAAGTGGGAAATGAGCCATACCTCTGTAGTAAACACTGACTTGATATTCAAAGCTCCAGTTTTCCCTTTTGGATATATTTGATTTATGTTAAACCAGCAACACAATAACGCCAAACATTATCTAAAGATGCAGTGTAATCCTAAAGTGAGCCAAATATCAAAGCCGAACGCCCACGACCGACTGGTCAAAAGTACGATTGGACCAAGTGCAAAGGAGGAATGGAAATATACAATAGCATAGGTTACTGAACCGTGAAATACAGACAGCGGAATTCAAAATTGTGAGTAACTTGGCAGGAGGCGATGTAGCCGGTAGACATGGCAGACCGGAAAGCAGCTGTTGGCCACGTCGTCCTCTCCTCCTCTGAAGCTTCAGGTAGAACCGCTGCCAGGCCCAGACTCAGCCAGCACTCGGCTCCCACTGAGACGCCTGGCACGGTTTAGCTTCATCCCTAAAAAGTAAGTAAATGACAATGCCTCCGTACTCCTGCAGAGAAAAGTCAGCTATCCAGCGAGTTTCCATAGCTGACCCGGGTTCAGGTCACGCCGTGCATCACGGCTGGGTTAGAATAACCAGGTAAAATCCTACTCTGATTACGGGGAACCAGGTGAAGATGTCTTTCCCGTATTAAACGTCTTACAGTGGCACAGAAACATCGGAGGCATCCCTCTGCACAGAGCAAAGGCTGCAGTCCACCGGAGCACCGTGTATGCTGAGGTACATTCGCTACCCGTGACCAAGTCAAGCAATAGCCCACGACAGGATATGTTGTGATTATGTCACAGCTAAGGGGGTTGTTCTTTTTTTACCACACGTTTATTTATACCACTACATTATTGGTGTGTTGCCTGCCTACTCATATCCTTTTTTGAATTCTTAACATACAGCCTTCTTTCAGTTTCTAGAACTCAGTGTGTAAAGGATACTGATGTTAAAATGTTTAAATTACCATCTTTTATTCGGTGAGGTTTTTATATGGCCTTCATTGATGTTTGACCTAATAATCAATCAAATCAATCAATACCACTGTTTCATCTCATAACTCACGCTGTCTTTATTTTTTTCATCTATTTTTTACATTTTATTTTGTCTTAGTTTTGTTCTGCGCTGTATTCTTTTACTGTGCTGTTTACTCTTTGGCTATAAAACTATTCAGGGCTCATTAAAAAGCAATATTCTGAATATACTTCTCTATATTCCCGATATAGAAAAGTGTACTCTTATGAACATTTGGATGATTCATATATTGACCTCATGGGAATAATACCTCTTTGTTTTATATCAGACACCAAACCTAATGCTAAGATAAAGGAGGCAGGGAAATATTCTGTTAATTCATAATTTATATAAACATGGAGAGACTACTTAGTACCAACAGTTTGTGCAACCTGACCCCTCACATTAAATTGTAATCCTAATTTAAATGTAACTTCTGAACAACGATCAGGGCAACGGCCCTTTGTCATGCCGATTATAAGGTCAATAGTGATATTCAATAATCCATGTTACAAAGTAATCTGAGACGTGTGCTTGCACGTATACTTTGATTGGCCAGCTTTGGTGCTTTGGCGGATTTCTTTGCAGTGCATTGTGGCAAAAGTTGAGCCAGGTTCAACAAAGTGAATCCAGGATTACAACCAGTACCAATTTTAATTCTCAATATCTATATTTCACTGTACCTACAATATCTGCACATGGTAAACATGGTATGATGAAGGGAATGGTCCTGGTGTGCTGGGTTGTTGTTTTGTCCAGCGCTGTCGTTCGGTGCGTCCTCCGTTATGTATGTGAACAGAGGCAGAGACAGACACCAGGACGGACCTCCTTACCTTATACTACCATCTAGTCCCAAACACTTCCTCTGAAATCTGAATACCCTCTCCATTTTCAAATGAGTGGAAGATTTTTTATTTTTCTTTAAAGCCACATATTTGCACAGCTCATCCTCTTTAATTAAACTTGGCCAATTCCTGTTTGCGCACCTAAATCATAGACCCACATCCAACTGATGGGGCTCATGATCAGGTCCAAGGAAGGGCAGAGGAGTGCTGGAGCGTGTGTCCTTATTGTGTGTGTGTGTGTGTGTGTGTGTGTGTGTTGGTCAAGCATGGCGGGACTGGTGGAAGCCCAGTCACTGTGGACAATGAGGGGCGTTGTGGAAAAATTGATAACCGGCTTTCATTTTTTTTTTCATCTTCCTCCTCCCTCAAGCTATAAAAGTTGAGTAATGAATTCATGGCGTGTGTTTGTCTTAAATAGAGAGAAGATATGTTTTGATATTGTGAAGAGGGAGAGAGAGACAAAGTGGGAGGATATATGAGCAGCAAAAACAAAGACGGTGAAATAAACAAGTGAATAGATGTCTAAAGAGGGGAGAGAGATAAAGGGGAAGCGCAGTGTGGGCTGTTTATACTAGAAGCCCATCAGCAGCTGCTCTTCTTCTTGGCCAGCTGCTGTCAGCATGCACAGCCTCATGGGAAACTGCCTGCGTCCTGTCAGTATTACTGGACCTGTCAGCTGCTGCAACACTAACGCACACAATAACCCAACCTTGCATGCTTAGATATGTACACACGCACGCATAGCAACCGGCACAAACAGCATGCAGAGGCCACTTCAACCCACAGTAGCATGCACATAATGCACATACTGTACATAATATGTATGTATATATATATATATGT